CCTGCAGTTGGGTGGGTCCTACAGTGAGGAGATCCTGCAGTGGGTGGGTCCTATAGTGAAGGGATCCTGCAATGGGGTGGGTCCAATAGTGAGGGAATCCTGCAGTGGTGTGGGTCCTATAGTGAGGGGATCCTGCAGTGGGGTGGATCCTATAGTGAGGAGATCCTACAGTGAGGAGATCCTGCAGTGTGGTTGGTCCTATACTGAGGGGATCCTGCAGTTGGGTCCTATGTGATGGGATCCTGCAGTGGAGTGGATCCTATAGTGAGGGGATCTGCAGTGGGGTGGATCCTATAGTGAGGGGAAACCTGCAGTGAAGTGGGTCCTACAGTGAAGGGATCCTGAAGTGGGGTGGGTCCTATAGTGAGGGGGATCCTGCAGTGGTGTGGGTCCTATAGTGAGGGGACCCTGCTTTGGGAGGGTCATATAGTGAGGGGGCCCTTCAGTGGGGTGAATCCTATAGTGAGGGGGATCCTTCAGTGGCCTGGGTCCCACAGTGAGGGGATCCTGCAGTGGGATGGATCCTATAGTGAAGGGATCCTGCAGTGGGGTGGGTCCTATAGTGAGGGGATACTGCAGTGGAGTGGGTCCTACAGTGAGTGGATCCTTCAATGCCTGAGGGGGATCCTGCAGTGGTGTGGGTCCTATAGTGAGAGGATCCTGCTTTGGGAGGGTCATATAGTGAGTGGATCCTTCAATGGGGTGAATTCTATAGTGAGGGGGATCCTGCAGTAGGATGGATCCTATAGTGAGGGGATCCTGCAGTGGGGTGGGTCCTATAATGAGGGGATCCTGCAGTGGGGTGGGTCCTATAGTGAGGGATCCTACAGTGGGGTGGGTTCTGTAGTGAGGGGATCATGCATTGGTGTGGGTCCTATAGTGAGGGGACCCTGCAATGGGAGGGTCATACAGTGAGGGGGTCCTTCAGTGGGGTGAATCCTATAGTGAGGGGGATCCTGCAGTGGCCTGGATCCCACAGTGAGGGGATCCTGCAGTGGCCTGGGTCCCACAGTGAGGGGATCCTGCAGTGGAGTGGGTCCTATAGTGAGGGAATCCTGCAGTGGGATGGGTCCTATAGTGAGGGGAACCTGCTGTGGGATGGGTCCTATAGTGAGAGGATCCTGCAGTGGGGTGGGTCTTATATGAGGGGATCCTGCAGTGGTGTGGGTCCTATAGTGAGGGGATCCTGCAGTGGAGTGGATCCTATAGTGAGGGGAATCTGCAGTGGGGTGGGTCCTATAGTGAGTGGGTCCTTCAGTTGGGTGGGTCTTATAGTGAGGGGATCTTGCAGTGGTGTGGGTCCTATAGTGAGTGGATCGTGCAGTAGGATCCTATAGTGAGGGGATCTTGCAGTGGGGTGGATACTACAGTGAGGGGATCCTGCATTGGGGTGGGTCCTATAGTGAGGAGATCCTGCATTGGGGTGGGTCCCCAGACCCTCTGCTCCCTTAGCATGCAGTCGTCTTCTTTTTTTTTTAATATTTATTTTTTAGTTCTAGGTGGACACAATATATTTTATTTTACATTTGTGTTGTGTTGAGGATTGAACCCAGTCCTTGGAGCACGTAGTCTTCTAACAGGGCTGGGATTTATCTCCGCGAGCTCCCTGGGTGTGCCTGTTCTCCACAGCATGTTGCTTAATATTAAACAGCTGATTTAAGACGCTCCCGTCGGGTCCTGCTGTATAGTTGTTCTATAAATTTCCTGAGGACCGCAGCTCTCTGCACATTAGCAGGGCCGGCTAGGGACAGTGCAGCTGTGTCCCTGACCTGATCCTCCCTGACCTTCCAGGTTGTCCCTGCTCTGCACACTGGGTCTGAGAATGGCTGCCCTGCTGCCCTGGCTGTGGGGACTGTCACGGCTACTTTATACACAAATCCGGCCGTGACCCTGGGGCTGAAATCAGTGCTGGGGAGAGGCTGACCTTCACTCAGATCAAAGGCCTGTCATACTTGAGCTGAGCACTGGGGGCCCTCTTGGCTCTGTCCTGAGGGGCAGTGGGCAGTCTGGCCTGGTGACCCTGGTGGTGGCTGCAGCCGGGGACAGGGCTGCATCTCCCCAGCCCCCATCTGCTGTGGCGGCCCCAGAGGAACTGTGGGAATGGGACCCAATTTGTCCCCATCCTTGGTGGCCTGACGGCTCTCTCTTTTCCCTCTGGAGGGTGCCAGTCCTGATTTGCCTCTTGCTGTTGGTTTTGGGGAAACTTGTGGAAACCACGTCCCTCCAACATCAGGCAAGGCAGCAGCAGGACGTGGGATGCATGGGATTGTGGGGCTCTGGACAAACACTGCCCACTCCCTTCCTGCCCACCTCCTGGCCTTGCCAGCTCTGCGACTCCAGAGACCAGCTGCTGAGACAGTGCACCCCATGCCTGAGGGGCAGTGGCCTGGCGGGCCCGGCCGATGTTCTGTGGCTCTGCATGGTGGGGCTGGACTGGGCACAGGGCCAGGAAGGCAGCATGCACTCTTCATGCCTGGCAGGGGCGGTGGACACCTGGCTCTGCTGGCTCCCAGGGAGAGCCTTCCAGGAGAGCAGGTGGCTGAGCCCCCAATCAATTCCACGTGGTTCTGCTGGGTCCCTCCAGCTTGCAGGGTGTCTGCTGCCCAATCCTACAGGCCTCGCTCAATGTCACCCCAGCCACCACAGCGCCAGGTCCCTGCCCTGGCTCCTCTTCCTGTGCAGGGCTCTGCTACATGCCCTCTGCCCTGTCGGATGTGCCACAGAAGCCAGGGGCTCTGGGGGTTATGGGCCACCTCCCCAGGCCCCTCAGAAGCTGGGCTCTGGGGGTCATGGGCCACTTCCCAAGGCCCCACAGAAGCTGGGCTCTGGGGGTCGTGGACCACCTAGACCCCTCAGAAGCTAGGCCTTGGGGGTCGTGGGCCACCTCCCCAGGCCCCACAGAAGCTGGGCTCTGGGGGTCGTGGGCCACCTCCCCAGGCCTCTCAGAAGCGGGCACTCTGCCTGGCACCACATCCCAGGGCGGGCCTGCGGTTTGCCTGGTGGGGCTTGTTTGTGCCTGTGGGGCTGGTAGCCCTGGGAAGCGCCCTGGGATTGGCAGTTTGGGTGGGGGCAGTGGGCTCGGTCCCCTGGACACCAGGCAACTCCTGGACAGCCACCTGCAGAGGCAGCTGAAAGGCCACCAGAGTAAGTGGGGATGGTGGCAACCGATGCAGGCTCTCAGCCAGCCTCCCTCCCCTTGGGTTCAGGTGCCCTCTGGGCCTGACTGGACCTCGTTCTGGACCCTGCCCTGCCCAGCACCGCACCACGGCCCCACTGCGTCCCCACATGCTCCTCTGCCATCAAAGCCTCACGAGTTTCCTGTTTTCACGGTCCATGTCCCCTCCCTTGCCACGTGTCCCTGGGGCCTGCCACAGTGCCCAGTACAGTTCATGAATGAAGGAGCCTCTGAGAGGGGCTCCCTGCAGAGCGCGAGGTGCCGAGTGTGAGGTCCAAGCTCAGGGCGGGAGGCTGGGAGGAGCTTGCGTCCTTCCTGAGTCCCTTGGCCTCTGTGTGCTGGGCGTGTGGGTGTCAGGTCCAGAGAGGACAGCAGAGGGAAAGCTCCGGCCACGCTCCCGTGATGGGCTCACATGGAGGCCGCAGTGTTCCCCCCAGGGCGGTGACGTGAGGCCAAGGCTGAGGACAGACTGGCCAAGACCCAGGCTCCGGCCGGGAAACAGCACGTGCTGAGGCCCCCAGCCCTTGGGCCTGCTGGACCCTCCAGGCTGTGCCTTGCCCCCCCACACACACACTGGCCGCTGCTCCCGGCCTGTTCTAAGAGGGCACCCGTGCAGCCTTTCAGATCCATTTAGCCTAATTAGAGTGATTCCGTGGTCTCAGGGCCAATTTACATCCCTGTGGCTGCAGGAAGGCCAGCTGAGTCCCCTAATGAAGAAAGTCCTTGAGCCAATTAGGGGGAGTGGCTCTGCCCTGTCCATTAGGTTTAATAAAGGTCAAGACAAAATCCAGTGCTGAGCCCAGCCAGGGTGGTGGTCCACTGAGCAGAGTTTGACTCGCCTGCTTTTCTGCTGTGAAGGTTGGGGTCTGCTTGGGGTGATGGATGAACTGTCCCCCACCCTAAGGGCCACTGCTGGCCCCAAGATGCCCCTGGGGGCGGAGGGCTTTATTAGCCTTGGGGCAGTTTTTCCCACTCTCCCAAGAGGGGAAGTATGTGAGGTCCTGGCAGCGAGGCCAGCCTGCCCGAGGTACAGTGGTGTCCTCCACTGGGGGGCTCCAGGGGGCCCCAGAAGGGGGTTTCTGTCTGCCTGGGTTCAGGCTGAAGGGAGAGGATGGGGGTGCTGGGCCTGTGTCTGCTCTGAGAGCCACTTCAAGAGGCCCAGGGTTGGTGCCTGAGGTAATGCAGGTCCTGATGGGGGAGGATGCAGCCCTGCCAGCCAGCTCTGCTCAGAAGTCCACTGCAGACCCTGGACCTTCAAAGACCCCAGACCTGCATCTGGAGCCTGCCTCCACTGGTCAGCCTGCAGTCCACGCCCTCCCTGCCTTGGTTTTCCCACCTGTCACGCATGGGACTGATCTGCAGGCATCCAAGGAGCAGAGGAAGCAAGGGTGTGGACGATTCCAACCTGGGGCAGTGCTGACCTGGGTGCCAGTGCCTGCATCTGCACAGCTGGTGGCTCTTTCTAAGAGGCTCACAGGGTCATTCTGGCTGCTTGGGGTGGGCAGGCAGAGGTGCTATGGGGGTCCCCTGCACAGGGCACAGAATGGAGTGGGAGAGGCCACCAGAAAAGGGGACAGTAATGTTGGGGTGAGTGGAATACAAAAAGGCAATCGGAGACTATGCAGAGAAGTCAGATTGGGTGGGACGCCTGAGGGGTGCAGCCTCACCCAGGCCTGTGTGGGTGGACCACTGCCCGTGGCTGTCCCTTGGGCACCTTCCCCTGAAACCAGTTATGGCCAAGCCCCTGGGGACCCGGGGCCCAGTGCAGGCGCCTCCGTGGTGTGCCCTGTGGTGACAGGGGACTGGGGATGGGGTCCCCGCCCAGGTGTGGCAGTGTGGCGGCAGCATGGAGGTGCTGCCCTGCTCCCGCGTGGCCCACATCGAGCGCACCAAGAAGCCCTACAACAACGACATCGACTACTACGCCAAGCGCAATGCGCTGCGGGCCGCCGAGGTGTGGATGGATGAGTTCAAGTCCCACGTGTACATGGCCTGGAACATCCCCATGACCGTGAGCCCGGGCGGGGGGTAGCGGGCCTCGTGGGACTCCTCAGGGCCCTGTCCTCACCAGAGCAGGGCCAGTGGGGGTCGTGGGCATCCTGCGGCCACCCTAGGTAGGGAGGGGACTTTGGCAAAGGGCCTTGTCCTCACTGGCCCAGGTAGATAGTCTAGGTAGAGAGTGGTCCCAGGGCCAGGGGTCAGGAGGGCAGGAGGGGTCCTCTGCCTCAGCCTCCCCAGTGCTTCAATGACAGCCACCCTGGCCAGGCGGCCCCTCTCAAAAACACTGAGTAGATGCTGTCCACCAGAGCCCTGCCTGCCCGTCCACACCACCTGGCCCAGCCCTCTGCCTGCCAGGCAGCATCCGCCCCCCCACAGCCCCCAGGGAACCCTCCCAGAGCGCTGTTCTGCTGTCACCCCACCATGGTGTTACTGGGAGCTGGTGGCCATGTGGGGTCACAGGCCTGCCGAAGCCACCCGATCCGGTACTGCCCGGCCAGCACTGCCCACAGCCATTTCCAGCCCCACAGACCAGGAAGACATCAGAACGGCCCTCAATACTAGAGACAAGGAGGGCTCCTGCCAACCATGAGGCCTATGGTCTGTCGCAAACTGATGCAGAAAGTCCAGTGTGACCATGTCCCTCCAGGTTGGGAAGGGCAGGACGTAGGCACAGCAGGGGGCTGGCCTCCTGGGCCCCAGCCCCTCCACAGGAGGCGGCTCAGTCCTACAAGGGTGGGATGTGTCTTGGGTTCACCCTTGGCTTACAAGGGTGCGTGGACTGTGGCCCCAGGAGGGCAGGGACTGTCCCAAGACCGCCCACAAAATGACAGACTCGGCTCCAGCATCCTGGCTGAGTCCACCCTTGCCCTGACCTGCTGGCCCAGATGGGGCCCTGGGGGCAGAGCTCCCCCAAGCCCACCCCACCTTCCTGGGGGCCACTCCCTGCACAGAGCATGGGCCCCATGGCACCTCAGGTCCTTGGCAACAGGAGGATGCCCAAGCTGGACAGGGCAACCGGCCCCAGCTCTACAGCACAGGGCAGCTTGGAACCAGCCAGGGACAGCTGTGTTGACCAGGGCTCAGACACCTGGATGTGGTGACCTCCCTGTGGCTGGCCTGTGTCCAGCCCTCCAGAGGTTAGGCTCACACTGCATGGCCAAAGCCCTGCCTTCCATCTCAGGACATCTCAGCCATCTAGGCAACCCAAGGCCAGGCCACCAGGATGGGGACCAAACAGAAGCAGGCTCGAGAGCCCTCCCAGGAGCTTGCAGGGCTGGACCTTGGATCAGGGTGCAGACAACCAGGCTGACCTTCTGTGGGTTATGGGAGGGCAGGAGGCCAGTTTGAGATGAGACTGCAGCAGGACTGCCCTGGGGGGTCTCAGGAGGCCTGGCACTCACATGTCCCCACCTGCTCCTGCCTCGCAGAACCCAGGGGTGGACTTCGGGGACGTGTCCGAGAGGCTGGCCCTGCGCCAGAGGCTAAAATGCCGCAGCTTCAAGTGGTACCTGGAGAATGTGTATCCTGAGATGAGGACCTACAACAACACCCTCACATACGGAGAGGTACCGCCTCCCCCGCAGGGCCCGCCTGACCCCACCGCCACGCCCTGTCCCCCCACACCTGACACGGTACCCCAGCACATTGCCCACACCCATGGCCCCACCTGCACACCTGTATACTGGGGCATCCAGACACTAAGGGACACAGGGACCGTCACATACACTTGGCCCACATGAAAACACATACTGATCCTTGCCTGTAGAAATACACACACGTGAAGAAACGTGTACACAGGTACACACAGAGATGTATGGCACACATATTCACATAGGTAGGGACACCTGCATTCACATGCATGTGCACAGGGCACACACATGTACATGCACACATGTATTCAGATGCCTGTGTGTGTACATAACGGTGTGTGTCAAATGCATGTGCATCTGTGTACATGAACATGTGTGCATGAGTGCATTCACATTTGTGAGCGTGCACTCACACACATGTGTGTGCTGCATGCCTACACTCTCCCACAGACACATGCTGTGTACATGCATGTGCATAAACCCTGCTGGTGCACGCTGAGCATGCACACACGAGTACAGTGCACACATGGAGGTGTACGTGTGCACACACAGAGCTTCCCAGGCACCACGCACACCTCAGCTGTGTGTGAACCTGTCAGGGCGCCTCCATGTGCACCAGGCACCTGTGCCATGTCAGGATTGTCACCTGAACGCGTGCACCACACAGCACAGCCCTGTTGGTCCACACACACAGTACCATGGCCCCAGACTCACACGGAGAGCAGCACCTGAGCGGCACCAAGACCCCGCCCCACCATTGCTGGTGCACAAACCCTCGTGGCTCTCCAAAGTCAGGGGGCGCCCTGTGGTCCTGCCGCTCCCCGGTCTGTGCTATGGTGGGCGGCCTCCCACCCTGCACTGGGCAGCAGAGCTTCCCCCCAGCTCCTCAGCTTCCCCAGAGCCCAGCTCTTCCTTGCGGAAAGAATGTGCACATCCTGGCCCTGGGCTAGCCCCCTGGCTGGGGGTCCTAGCTGTCTACCCGTCCCAGAGCTCCCGGCCCAACCCACATCTGACCCAGTCCATCAGGCCCAGAGCCTCCCTGGGGGGCACTGGGTATTGAAGGGGTGGCGGGAGGCAGCGCTTCTCCCGGCCTCTCCTGTGCTCTGTCCTGCCCATTTCCTCCCACTGTCAAGTCCCCTCACCACCCACCCCTGTGGCTGCTTCTTCTGCTGGTAAAACCTGCACCACTCTGGGGAGCAGTGGCCCGTAACTCCAGGTGTCTGAGGGTGCTCAGGGTCCAGGCCATGGGCAGTTCTGCTGGGTGGGGGCGGAGCCCATCCTGGCTGGGCATGCTCTGCGGGCTGGAGGCTGGCTGGCTGCTGCTGCCCGCCCAACTTGCAGGCAGAGCAGGTCGCACGGCTCATGGGCTCTAAGCCCACATGGCTCACTTCTGCTGCATTCCGTTGGCTGAGCCTCTGCCTCCTGGGGAAGAACTATGGTCACACAGCACAGGGACATGGGAAGCCAGCGGCACAGCCCAGGTCTCCATCCAGCATGTAGGACTGTGTCAGGAACAGTCAACGTGCCCCTGACAGCTGGCCAGCCTGTGGCCCCTCTGCTCCCTTCCCCTTTACCTCACCTGGCCCCAGGCCAGCCCTGGGTCCTGGTGGGTCTCATGCCCGGAGAGGATGGCGTCAGGCTCACGCCTGTTCTGGGACAGCCAGCTGCAGAGCAGCCCCACCTGAGGATGGTGGGTGGGTGGGCTTCCTGCAGCCTTACCTTGGCCTGGAGATCCTCCTTGGTGACCCTGGGTTCCTCCTGTGGCTTTTGGTGGCAGGTGAGAAACAGCAAGGCCAGTGGCTACTGCCTGGACCAGGGTGCGGAGGACGATGACCGGGCCATCCTCTACCCCTGCCATGGCATGTCCTCCCAGGTAGGCCCAGCGAGCCCTTTGCAGGCAGGGGCAGGTGCTGAGCACACAGTGGCTGCTGGGGCCAGCTCAGGGGCTGGAGCAGCTTGGGGACCCCGAGAGCCCCGCCCCCCCCAAGGCAACAGATGGGTAAACTAAGGACAAGGCTTGGGTCAGGCAGGCCTTGGGGACTCCTCTATGCTTCAGGGTCCCCATCAACACCACAGGACACTGAGGGTGCTACTTCTGCCTGAGCACCTGCCCCGGCCTTGCAGCCCCAGGTCCATTTGCACCTGGCCAGACCCCAGCCAGGGCTCATCATGGCCCCAGGTGACCCTGACCCAAGAGAGAGCCTGAGGGTCCCATCACAGGTGACCCTCTGCATGTGACAATGTGCCTGGGTGTCTCAGTGCTGAAGTTGGATCCCACTCCACGGTCGGCTTTCCGGGCGTGACCCTCAGCCCTTCCAGAGCCCTGCGCACAGAGTTCCACCCAGGGCAGGTCCAGGGACCCTGCCACCCTGCCCTCACCCCAGCACTGAGCTGGTGCTAGTTGACGGGGGCGCATGGGTGTGACCAGCTCTGTGCGCTGCCCTCCTTTGTCCTCCCTGGAGCTCTGGACAGGAGGCCCAGCCACTTCAGCTTCCAGCTTTGATTAACGGCAAAGCAGACCTACGTGGAGGCCCAGAGGAGGCCGCTGAGCAAGTCCAGTTGGGGGCCTCCAACACGTGTGGAAGACCCTCTGGCCAGTGAGGACCTCAGGAGGCGGCCCCTGGGCCTGGCCGGGTCCCAGCAGCAGACCCTCCTGCCAGGAGCAAAGCCCTGCTGGAGGGCAGGGCAGGGCAGAATCCGGGGTCAGCAGAGGTGTGGGCCCCCCGTGATGCCCCAGTGCCCATGCTGAGCCCTCTGCCACCAGAGGACAGTGGGGCCATGGGCATAAGTCACCTCCCACTCCTAGAGGGTGGGCAGACGGGGACCAGGTGGATGGGGAGGCTGGGCCCGAGGTAAGCCTCACTGGAGAGTTGGAGAACTCTCAATTCAAGCAGGACATGGCCCCCACGTTCTCCTCTGCAAAATGATCACAGTCTGTTGGTCACTCACAACCCAAAGTTCTCTGAGGCTGCAGGACTCCAGGGAAGAGCTAAGTCAAGTCCCCAGACCCTGTCACCAGGCTGTCTCAGTCTCCTGGGGCCACTGTGACCAAGGACCAGAAGCTGCACTGGCTCAGGGCCGCAGGACCCCCACCCCTGCCATTCTGGAGGCCACACTCTGAAGTCAGAACCCCTGGTCCTGGGCCTGCCTCCCTTGCCCAGCCCTGCACAAGTGGCTCTCCTGTTCCCAAGGCTGAGCCTGGAAGGTCACTCCCAGAGGGCTCTCACTGGCTGGCAGCTGTGCTGGCCAGGGCTGGCTGGCCAGAGCAGGACTCATGGCCACTGGTGACATCCCTCAGAAGTTGGAAGGCTCCACTCCATGATGTTCACCATTCCCCGATGTTCACCATTCCCCGATGTCCAGAAGGAGAGGACAGAGCCACTGCTGGGGGTCAAGGTCACATGCCACATGGACATGCCAGGCAGGAGCAGCTGGTACAGGACGTGCCTGGGCAGTGTACCTGTGCACTCAGGAGAAGACAGCAGGAGCCCAGAGATGCAGCCCACACACACGCCTGCTGTGCCCCCCTCTGATGCCACGTCCCATGCTAGCCCTGTGCACAAGGCCGTCCTAACAGCCTGCTTGCTGTGGAGGACACTGAGGCTCGGCCAAGGGGCTTGCTGAGGGCACACAGCTGGCTTCTGTGTGGAATGTGTAGCTGTCACTCTGCCCTCTTGCAGAAAGCCTCCCTGGGGGGAGTGTTACACAAACACCCCTAACCACAGCCCCAGGGTGTGGGCACACGGAGTCGCCTTCACCTGAAACGTCTGCCATGTCCTTCGGGAGGAGTGGAGCATGATGGGGCTATGGGAGGCCCTCTGTCTCCCAAATCCACGCCTGGGCCCAGGTGTCCAGCCTCACAGAGGCCAGGACTCTGATCAGAGTTCCCGGGAAGCAGACCCAAGATGGGTCCTCATTGCAGGACCATGGGGAAGGCATGGGGTCCATCCACCAGGCAGCCTCAGCCCAGCTGGGGCTCCTCCCCCCTCCTCCCACTGGCCCCCACAGAAGCAGGGTGGGTGGGGCCGAAAGGCAGGGAGGTGGGCATTGGGCACAGGACCTACATCCTCTCAGCCACCTGCCCAGGCCTTCTGGGGTGTCCTGTGGCTACCATCCAGGGGTGCTGGGTTTGAAGTCTCCGTTCAGCAAAGGAGTGAAGAGCAGGACACAGGGACAGCAGGCAAGCAGCAGGCTCAGGGCAAAGTAACAGACATAGAGACAGACTTCTCTGAGGAGCAGGGGACTGGAGCCGGAGTCCCGAGGGGAGTCCTGGCCTGTTCTTTTTGTGGTCTCTGGAATTTCCTCCTCTCCTCATCTCCCCCTGTCCCCGTGCTCCTCACTATTATTGGTTGGTCTCCTGGTCCACGCATCTGTCTTAGTTTTTCCATTGGGTCCCCCGTTTACAGAAGTGTCTGTGTGACAGGTCCCCACTTGTGTCCACGGGCACTTTTGCCAACCAGGAAGCTGAGCACACCAGAGCCCCTCCCCGTGCTCCTGTGTTCTCTCTGCCCAACTCTGGTCTGGCCCCTGCCCTGGCTGCCTATGCCCCCTGCATCTCCCTCAGTGAACCCCAATACCTCCATGACCCCCGGAGCCTGACAGTGCTGCCCACTGGATTGGCTCAGGAGGCTGGGGTGTCCTCCATTCCCTCCTCCAGCCCAGCTGGATTCCTTCTGAGCACACTGGCCACCAGCATGGATCCCAGGAGTTCCTCCCCTCGCCCAGGCCTGAGCCCGCCACAGGCAGCCTGGACTCCCCAGGCCTGGCCGTGTCCACTCAACCCTCCCCAGTGTCCACCCGTGCTGTCTTCCAAAATCTGATGCCCAGCTGGCATCCGAGCCTGGTGACGTCCCCTCCTCCCCTAGAGCCTTCTGCACAGCCTGTAGAGGTGGGCCCTTGTGGTCACTTCACATCCACCACAGTGTCTCCTGGGAGGGGGACGCCCTAGAACAGACACCAAGGGCCTAGTGTACAGCAGGCCTGGGTGCTGGGTCCAGGCCTCGGGGGTCCTGGGTGCTGCCCACAGCTCTGTCCATCTCCCAAGCTGAGGCCTGGAGGCTGGGTCCAGGCCTCGGGGGTCCTGGGTGCTGGGCCCACAGCTCTATCCATCCACCCAGCTGAGGCCTGGGGGCTGGGTCCAGGCCTTGGGGGTCCTGGGTGCTGCCCACAGCTCTGTCTATCCCCCCAGCTGAGGCCTGGGGGCTGGGTCCAGTCCTCGGGGGTCCTGGGTGCTGGGTCCAGGCCTCGGGGGTCCTGGGTGCTGCCCACAGCTCTGTCCATCCTCACAGCTGGTGCGGTACAGTGCTGACGGCCTCCTGCAGCTGGGCCCCCTGGGCTCCACGGCCTTCCTGCCCGACTCCAAGTGCCTGGTGGACGATGGCCGGGGACGCACGCCCACCCTGAAGAAGTGTGAAGATGTAGCCAGGCCGGCACAGCGGCTGTGGGACTTCACGCAGGTCAGTGGCTCATGTACCTCCAGGGCCGCCTGCAGATGAGACCAGGGCAGCGTGGCAGGGACCCTGGATCAGCTGCTCTCCAGGAGCCCCAAAGCACGGGGGTGGGGGGGTGACTGGCCCAGGGTCACACAGCCAGAGAGGGGTCATTTTACAGCGCTACCACTTTCAGCCCTGACTGCCCGGGTTCCCAGGCCCAAGAAATGGACAGGAGGATTTGGGCAGAGGGATTTGGAGTGCCTCACCTTGGCTGGTGGTCTCAAGAGGCAAGACTGCAATTCCACAGAGCTCTGCAGAACCAGCACTTGACCCAGCTGCGCTGGTGATGCCCGAGTCTGACCCTCCCAAGCCCCCAGGAAGGAGTGGCCCCTGTCCATCCTTCCTTCCCTCAGATCCCGCTCCTGAGGGTCTCTGAGCCCAGGGCCTGCTCCCGCCCCTCACCACACCGTGCCACCCTCTGAGCCTGACACTCTTGGGCCCAGGACCAGGGCAGCTGGATGTGTCCTCCAAGCCCTGCTGACCCCGCTTGCCTCCTGTGGAGACCTGCAGGTCCAGTACCTCTGTTCCTGCTGGGCACAAACCCCATGACAGTGTGAGGGGCTCTGCTGTCCCCCAGGGGCCTGGGGACCACTGGCTGGGAAGGAGCTCTCACTGCTGCCTGAGAGCTGCCTTGAGAGGCCCCGGGGGTGGGGTAGGGGTGGCAGTGAGGCCAGGGTCAGCGGCCCTGCTGCAGCTGCCTCTGGGGCAGCCAGGTGGGGCCAGGGCCATGGGCTCGGGGCCCCCTGCGCTTCCTGGAACCCCTTGGACCCCAGAAAACAGCAGGGCAGGCTGGCAGCGAGGCTGGCTGGGATGCGGGCGGCAGAGAGGACCAAGGGGCCGGGGGCTTCCTGGTGGCCATGTGGGGCAGCATGGGCCCAGGGCCACCCCCTGTCCTGGGCGCCCCGTCTGACCCGGCTCCCCACCCCGCAGAGTGGCCCCATCGTGAGCCGGGACACGGGCCGGTGCCTAGAGGTAGAGATGTCCAAAGACGCCAACTTCGGGCTCCGGCTGGTGGTGCAGAGGTGCTCAGGGCAGAAGTGGATGATCAGGAACTGGATCAAGCACGGGCAGCACTGACCTCGCCCCCAGAGCCACTGTCCAGAACATGGGCACTGGTGGACCTTGGGGAGCCCTGGGCAAGCCCGGGCTGGAGCCAGGACTGCCTCGCGCCACCCACCCCCCGGGCAGGCTGGGCCGTGTGCCTGGGACAGGGCAGGCCTGGCGCCTGCGGCCATAGCCACCATGTCGGGGACAGACCCTCCCAGGACGGGCAGCTCTGCCAAGGGAGGGTGTCCGAGGACTGGGACTCCCGCGCGACTCACGTGCCTTTCTACAGAGATCCTCCTCAGGCTGCCGGGACAGCCGCCCTGCATGTGCCGAAGCCCTAAGAACTCACCCCAGCGACTCGCGCCCTGGGCCGAGGACCGGCACCACCCTCCGCACACACGCTCCCTCCCAGCAGACAGAGCTCGCGCCCCTCTGCCAAGGCCAAAGCCGGAGGGCAGCTCCGCGAGATCCGGGAAGAAGCTACGGCTGCCCTGGTCCCAAGGGCGACTGAGGCCAGGCCCAGGAGGCCACTCTGCTGCTCGGGGAGGCTCAGGAGGGGTCGGCAGCAGAGACGAAGCCACCTGCCTCGGGGAGCTGGAGAAGGCCCTGCGGGCAGGGGCTCCGCTTCTGCCATCCCTCGCTGGCCCATGCCCCTGCTGCCCCCTGGATCTGTGCCCTCTGTGGCAGAGGCAGCTGCGGACGCCCACCTCTCACCTGTTTTTATAAATAAAGTCTTACATGGCACTTACATGGCACTCAGCCACTCTGCTGTTGGCATCTTGTCGTGACCCCACGTGGGCTCCAGGTGCTCAGCTGAGACGTGGCCTTGGGGCTCTGGCCTCAGGGAAATGTCCCAGTCCTGGAGGACACACAGCTCTCCCGCCCTCATGTCCTGGAGAGCTGCCTCCACAGCCTGGACCAGGCGAGGGGGTTGGGCAGGTGTGGAGAGGCCAGAATTCGCCTCACAGCCGGCTGGCCACATGGAGGGAGAGGAGAGGGTCAGCTCCGGCCTCTCTGCAGCTGGCAGGATACAGAACAGAGTTCTTCGGCCCAGGTTTCAGAACAGTGTCCCCACAGCCCCAGCCTGCTTCACGTGGGGTCACTGATGCTCAGGACTGTTGCCCTCGCCCCGCACTGCAGCACCCACCAGGCACCTCTGGGGTTTGCTGGCAGCCGGAGGGTGTGTGCGTCCTGGGGCTGGCCTCATGTAGTCATGCTCACCCCTGCTACTGAAGGCCAGGCCCGCATTCCCTCCCCAGGCAGAGCCTCCAGGCCCCTTTCCTGGCCTCACAGGGAGAGTATGTCCGCCTGGTGGCTTCCAATGTCCCCTCCCGTGGGGCAGCCTGGAGAGTGGCTGGCTTCGCTCTTGGACATCAGCTGGAGAGACTGGACGATCCATCTTCACCCTGTCCCACCCTCCTGGCCACAGTCAGGGACTCACCCCGGGTGGCTAGCAGAGTCACCAGCCACAGGGGACCTCAGGGAACCACAGGCAAACCTTCCGTCCTAGGGGCGGTCCTCCCAGGCCCCCAGTGGGGGGGGCACGGCCTCGAGCAGGAGGGAGGCCCCTATGTGGCAACAGGGGCTGTCCTGTGTCCCCAGGGCTCCTGCCTCCTGTGGCGGGGACTGTGGGTACCCCAAGGCTCCCTGCAGCACATGGCCACCCACTGTGTGTCACCCCAGAGTTCAACCCCAAGAGCCCGATGCTCAGGACGGGGAGGAAGAGGCCCAGGATCCTGCTATTGAAGACGTGCCCGTAGCACTGAGGCCAGTGTCCACTCGGCCCTGACCACCAGGGATGCCCATGCTGGGACCAACTTCGCATGGAGGATGGTGGCCTGCACTGCCAGGAACCCCAGCCAAAGTCCTCCGCCTCAAAACATGTAGAGTGCCCCCAGACAGCAGAGCCAGCCCAGTGTGGGGGGCAGAGCAGACGGGAGAGGAGCGGTCCAGCAGGCCTGCTGGGGAGCTGGCGGGAGGGGAGATCCTCTTACGTGGGCCCCGGGACACCAAGTCCTGACACTGTCCTCAAGGGTGGAGGCAAAAGCCGAGGGAGCATCTGGAATGGACACAGGCCCTCTGGACAGGTTCAGTGTCACGCCCAGGTCCAGGTGACCCCAACCATACCCTGCGCCGCCTTTCCTGCCTTTCCTACTCAGCACTTGTCTTTCCTTTTTAAACGACAATAGTGTTTTAAGTGGCAAAGGTACAAGCAAATAGGGTTTAATAAAACCTAATTCCCAGCCCACTTCTTTCATTAATCCAATTATAAATCATCTCTGCAGCAAATTCAGAAAAGTCATGTTGTGTGTAAATCGGCTCATTTGCAGCCAGAGACCCGAGCAGGCCCGACGCCAAGACCTGAGCTGCAGTTGGGAGAGGCGGGCGGCAGGCGCCCCCCACTCTGCCCTGAGGGACGTCACCAGCATCAGAATTTCATTTTGCCTAATAAAAATGTTCCTCGTGCCAATGAATCATTGATGGCCAGGGTGCAGGAGCGGATCCGGGGGTGGCCCAGAGGGCCTATGGGGCCAGGAGGGAGCCGCCTGGCTGGGGCTGACCAGAGACCCCTGGAGAAGAGACCCCTCCCCAGAGGAGCAGCACGTCTCGCCGTGGCCGAGTATGGACACCAGCGTTGGCCGGGCAGCCTGGTCCTGCAGGCTCCGGAAGGAAGCCGACCTGTGCCCACGGCTCCTCCTCACTCCCAGAGAAGAGTGGGTGTGGGGCCTGCCCGTCCATCCCTGGGTGGCTTCCTGGGCTTTTAGTCTGCTTCCTGGACTTGCCCATATCCTAATTTTTCTGCAGACATTTGCCTGTGGTGAGCAATGGTTGGCTCCTTTCCTTCCTGAGCATTTACTAGGCACCTGCTGTCCCAGGTGCTGGGAGCAGTGGGGACAGGGACGAGGGATGCACTGAAGTCTCCCTTTCTCGGCATAAGTGCTGAGGAGAGGACAAGCACCACCAGGTGATGGTGGGGACTTTCGCAGGCATCAGGGCACCTCGTGGGCGAGGAGACTCAGCAAAGGCCAGGAGGCAGCAGGCCCCCCATGGGGAGGCTCAGCACAGCCAGCAGATGCGGGCCATGGGACGGGCATAGGGAGGGAGAGGAGATGAAGGGCTGGCATGGAGGCAGGAGGCAGCCTGCCAAGGAGTAGCCCTGCGGGTGCTGGGGGACCTCCACCCTGCTCAGAGAGGGTCTAGGGCAGAGCAGGGCCTTACCTGCCTCTCGGAAGGGTCCCCTAGCTACTGGGCTGAGCCAACTTCAGGGAGGGAAGGGAGGAAGGGGAGACCCCCAGGAAGTGGCCGTGGGACCTGGGGTGCTCGCACAGGACAGCAGGCTGAGCACGGTCACAGTCCTGCGCAGGACCTGCCAGGGAGGAGAGGGATGGCATCCCACCAGCCAGGTGGGGTCTGGTTGGTGCCAGAGGCATCATGGAGAGGGACTGTGAGCCGGTGAGCAGGAGGTTGGGCACAGGTTGGGGCTGGAGTCCCTGGCGTCTCAAGACGTCGGAGGAGGTGAAATTGCTGAGGACCACATGGACCTGAGGAAAGTGGCCCACAGAGCCTCCAGTCAGCAGGTGAAGGCCCCTGGGGGAGGCCTCGATCCCAGCCATGCGAACCACGGCCCCAAGGTTCCTAGGCAGAGCTGGTGGCAAGAGTGGGGCTTGGTGGTCAGTGGATAGCACTAGGTGTGCACCCACTGTGTGCCCACCTGGGGAGGCTGGCTGGTCCACACTACTGTAGTGAGATGAAGGCCTTGTGTCCAGAGGGCCAGCGGTCATCTCCACAGCAGCCTCCTGAGGCCACAGCCCCCCATCACCTATCAGCCAGGCCAGGATCAGGGCACCAGGACGTGGCCCAACACTGCCTCAACCCCACATGGCTGCTGCTTCCCACAGGCTCCTGCTGTTCCCCAAGGAGCCAGAGAGTCCCCCACAGAAGGGAAGGGTCTTAACAGAGATGTCCCCCATGTTCCCATGGTGCCTGGGGAGCCTTCCACAGCCAGGCCCAGCCCCACCCCTGGGCTTGCTGACCGCAGCAAGGCAGGCAGATCCTCCCACATGTCCCAGGGTGGAGCAGCTGGCAGCTGGTAGGGGACTGGAGCAGGGACACAGCCTGCCACAGGCTTAGAGTCTCGCCCGGCAGGCACGGGCAGCCCCCAGCTGCAAGGACACAATGAAGACAAGAGCCCAGACAAGGCTGCCTCAGCCTCCCGAAGAGCTTCAACCTCAGAAACCCCTGGGGGCTCAGTGGGCCCACGGAGGAGCAGAGGCCAGGTCTCAAGGACTCACGCAACTGGGGACATCAGGAGGTGATGATCAGCAAGGCTCGTGGGCCCTGGGAGCAACCCTGCATCTAGCAGGCTCCGTGGGAGGGCCCGACACTGGCCTCTGCAGCAGGCAGGGATTTAGTAGGACCTTGGAGACCCTCAGAGGAGCTGGGGATGAAGGCCTCCATGCAGGACGCAGTTTGACTTGCCCACAGCCACGACACCATGGTCACAGCGTCAGGACCCCGGGAACTCCCAGGGAGCGTTCTGTCTGCAGGCTGGCCTCGCGGCTCTGAGGCACCACAGCCGCTGGTTTTATTTTTGTGGCTCTGGGGACTGAACCCAGGGGCACTCATCCACTGAGCCACATTCCAGCCCTGTTTGTTATTTTTTAAGACAGGGTTTCACTAAGTTGCTGAGACTGGCCTTGTTTGTGATCCTCCTGCCTCAGCCTCCCGAAGAGCTGGGATCACAGGTGAGGCCATGTCTGGCCACAGTTGCTTCTTACCACCCTGAGAACGTGACACCAGGGTCACTCCTTCTTGCAGGCTGCAGGCCCCAACCAGACAGGAGAGCACAGAGAGTCAGCGGTGCTGGTCATACCTGGCACCTAGCCCACAGGCCCCTGGAACTTTGTAAACAGTTCTGCAGGCAGGGGTGAACGGGCAGCCACAGGCTCCTCGGAAGGCCCTGGGAGACCCCACTCCTCCTGACTCCCAGGCAGGCCTCAGTTGTGGCTTCTTGGCTCCAGCACGGCCCATGTCTCCTCT